TGAACGTGTGAAAACTGTCCTTCCAGGGACAGGGCATGTCTGTCACTGGCCTTCCTCCTCTCTGCTGGTGGGAATGTGGATGTGACACTGGAGCTAAACAGCTGTCTTGAATGCTGAGGTAGAAGCCACACACCAAGGCAGTGGTGGAACGGGCTGGAGACCTGGGTCCCTGAGGACTGTTTAAGCCACTGTTATTGGGGGTTTTCTTTCACTTCCAGCCAAACCCAGCCCTAACTAATGGGCCAGCCTTGGCCCCCAACCTGACCCCACAGAGTCCACTGCAGCCATTCTTCCTGCATTCTCCCCTCAGGTCTGTGATGTCCCTGCGTTTATAATCTCACTAGATAGCAGAACCCTTCTCAGGGGCTGCAATGCATCTTCACACTTTTTGCCTNTCTCACGGCTCCACTAGACATGGCGCTGATGGGGTTTCTCTGCTGCAACTCCGACCCCACATTTCTGCTCGGCATTGCTCTAGCAAAGGCTGTCTGTGGTGACGCCACCCCTGTGACAGATCTCTTCCTGGGCCCCCAGACTTTTCCATACGTCCTTTGAAATCGGGGTGGAGGTTCCCAAGCCTCCACAGCTCTGGCATTCTGTGGGCATGCAGACCTAACACCACGTGGATGCTGCCAAGGCTTCCAGCTTGTATCTTCCAAAGCTGCAGGTCCAGCCACACCTGGGACCAATTTAGCCATGGCTGGAGCAGCCAAAGCAGCTGGAGTGCTGGTGCTGGAAGTAGCTTCCCAAGGTGGTCCTGAGCAGCAAGCCGAAGGAGGGTGCCTCTGGCCTGCTCCCCAAGACCACTTTTTCTCCCTAGGTCTTTGGGCCTGAAAAGGAAGAGATTCCCAGAGGCTTCTGCAATGCCTTCAGGGCCTTTTCCTCCTTCTCTTGATAATCCCGTTCTTCTGCACTAATCTTCTTAGCTAAGGTTGCTGGGCTGCATCATTGCATGCTCTCTGTTTCTTTACTACATGGCCAGGCTGCAAATTTTCTAAATTTTTACATTCTGCTTCCCTTTAAAATTCTGCCTTTATGGGGGCCGGTCCGTGGCTCACTTGAGAGAGTGTGGTGCTGATAACACCAAGGCCAAGGGTTCGGATCCCCTTAGTGGTCATCTTTTGAAATACAAATAAATAAATAAATAAATTCTGCCTTTATGTCATGCCTTTGCCGCCATAACTCAGAGCAGGCTGCTAGAAGTAGCCACACAGTTTCCTTAGTGCTTTGCTGCTTAGAAATTTCTTCTGCCAAGTACTCTGGTTCACAACTCCTAAATTCCAA